AACTATCATAAATATGCTCAAAGAACTAAAAAAACAATGTCTAGAAAATTAAAGAACACCTAAGGCTGGATGTGGTGGCTCAGCCTGTAATCCCAGCACTTTGGGAGGTCGAGGCAAGAGGATTGCCTGAGCCCAGGGGGTTGAGACCAGCCCTGGCAACTTGGTGAGACCTCATCTCTACAATAAATCACAAAACTAGCTGGGCATAGGGGCATGTATCTGTAGTTCCAGCTACTTGGGAGGCTGAGGCAGAAGAATCGCCTAAGCCCAGCAGGTGGAGGCTGCAGTGGCTGTGAGCATGCCACTGCACTCCAGCCTGGGCAACAAGAGTGAGACTCCAACTCAAAAAATAATAATAAATACATAAATAAATAAATAGAGAATGCCTAAAGAAATGTCCAAGCATAATACAAGAAAATGTGTACAAGATCTATATGAAGAAAACTACAAGACTCTGAAGGCAGAAATCAAAGAACTAAATAGGAAGACTCAGTATTGTCAAAATGTCAGTTCTTCACATCTTAATCTATAGATTTAACACAATCCCAATCAAAATTCCCAGCAAGCTATTTTGTGGATATTAACAAAGTGACTCTAAAGTTTGTATGGAAAAGCAAAAGACCCAGAATACCAAACACAAAATTGAAGAACAAGAATAAAGTCATTCCAAACTTCAAGATAGATTATTATAAAGCTATAATAATCAAGACAGCATGGTATTGACAAAAGAATAGGCAAATAGATCATTGAGCAAAATACAGAGCCCAGAAATAGACCTACATAAATATAAACAACTTATTTTTGAAAAAAGAACAAAGGCAAAAAAATGGGGAAAAAGTGCTAGGACAACTGGATATTCACATAAAGCTGGACGCCTACCTTACTCTCGCTATAAAAACTAATTCAGCTGGGCATAGTGGTTCATGTCTGTAATTCCAGCACTTTGAGAGACGGAGGTGAGAAGACTGCCTGAGTCCAGGGGTTCGAGACCACCCTGGGTAACTTAGCGAGACCTTGTCTTTACAATAAATAAAAAAATTAGTCAGGTCTGGTGATATGTGCCTATACTTTCAGCTACTTGGAAGGCTGAGGTGGAAGGATTGCCTGAGCCCAGCATGCCAAGGCTGTGGTAGCTATGAGTGTGCCACTGTACTCCAGCCTGGGCAACAGAGTGAGACTCCTCAAAAAAAAAAAAAAAAAAAAAAAAAGCCAGGCTCTTTGGGAGGTTGAGGTGAGTGGACTGCCTGAGCCCGCGGGTTCAAAACCCACCTGGGCAACTTGGTGAGACCTCATCTCTACAATAAAATCAAAAATTAGCTGGGCGTGGTAGTGCGTTCCTATAGTTCCAGCTACTTGGAAGGCTGAGGTGGAAGGATCGCCGGAGCCCAGCAGATCGAGGTTGCAGTGGCCGGGAGCGGCCACTGCACTCCAGTCTGGGTGACAGAGTGAGACTCCAACTCAAAAAAAAAAACAAAACAAAAAACTAACTCAAAAGTATCAAAGACCTAGATATAAGAGCAAAAACTGAAACTCTCAGGAGAAAACAAGGTTAAAGCTTTATGGCCTTTGAACTGGCAACGGATTCTTACACAAACACAAGCAATAACAACAAAAAAAAGATAAACTGAACTTCATCAAAATTAAAACCTTTTGTGTGTCAATGAATACTATCAAGATAGTGAAGGGCTTGGTGGCTCAGCCTGTAATCCCACGCTTTTGGGAGGCTAAGGTGAGTGGATTGCCTGCCCGTGGGTTTGAGACCCGCCTGGGCAACTTGGCGAGACCTCATCTCTACAATAAATCAAAAAATAAGCTGAGTGTGGTAGCGCATGCCTGTGGTTCCAGTTACTTGGAAGGCTGAGGCAGAAGGATCGCCGGAGGCCAGCAGGTCGAGGCTGCGGTGCCCAGGAGCAGCTACTGCACTCCAGTCTGGGCGACAGAGTGAGACTCCGACTCAAAAAAAAAAAAGATAGTGAAAAGATAGCCTACAGAATGCGAAAAAATATATGCAAATCATGTATCTGATAAGGGTCTAGTATTCAAAATATATAAAGAGCACTTACAACTCAATAAAAACAAACAACCAATTATAAAATGGGCAAAAGATTTAAATAAACATTTCTCCAAAGATATACAAATGGCCAACGAGTACATGGAAAGATACTCAACATCATTAGTCATTAGGGAAATACAAAACAAAACCACAATCGTACATATAACACTTCACACTCACTAGAATTGTTATAAGGAAGAAAATTTGAAAAGTGTTGGTAAAGATGTGGAGAAACTGAAACTCTCATACACTGCTAATGGGAATGTAAGATGAGACAGCTGCTGTCGAAAATAGTATGGTAGTTCTTCGAAACACATAAAACTACCACAGGAGCCAGCATTTCCAATCCTAGTACACATCCACAGGAAATAAACATGTGTCCACACAGAAACTTATACATAATGTTTACAGCAGTGCTATCCATAATAGCCAAAAGATAAAAACAACACAAAAGTCTATCAACAGATGAATGGAAAAGCAAACCGTAGTATATACATACAATGGAGTATGATTCAGTCAGCAAAAGGAATGAAGTACCAATTCATGCTGAACCATGGGTGAACCTTGAAAACATGTGAAGTGAAAGAAACCAAACACAAAGGGCCACATGTTCTGTGATTCCATTTATATGAAATGTCCAGAACAGGCAAATCCACAGAGAGAAAGCATATTAGTGGTTGCCAAGAGACAGGGAGTGATAACTTTATGGTACAGGGTGCTCTTTGGGATGATGAAAAAGTTTTGAAAGTAGAGACAGATGTGGTTGTACCACACTGTGAATGCACTAAATGCCAGTAGATTCTATATTGTAAAATGATTATTTGTATGCTATTTGATTTTTTACCTTAATTTTTAAAAAGCATGTATATCAGAGAAAAATAAATCACTAAATTAAAATTAATTCAGCCTTTGAAGAAGTGTTTGAAAAAGCCATTTGAAATGTTTATATTCCAAAATCAGTCAAGGTTTCCTATGACTTAATCAAATGGACAAAGAGGAGACCCAATAATACAGCTTCTTGAAGGACACATGGGTGGGTGCAGACCTGGCTGTGCTAGGTGGTCAGCCACAAGTCCACAAAATGCTTTGATCCCAAATGCCAACTCATTTTATTTAATATACTATGTTTATCTACTAAGTTCTATCCTTAACTGATAACGCCAAACTATATCTTTTAATCAATGTCTTACTGTGTGCAAGTTCTCCTCCATCCTTCAAATTTCTTTTTTGTTTGTTTGTTTGTTTGTTTTGAGTTGGAGTCTCACTCTGTCGCCCAGACTGGTGTGCAGTGGCCGCTCCCGGCCACCGCAGGCTCGACCTGCTGGGGCTCCGGCAATTCTTCCGCCTTAGTCTTCCAAGCAGCTGGAACTACAGGTGCACGCTACCACACCCTGCTAATTTTTGATTTTATGTAGAGGTGAGGTCTCGCCAAGTTGCCCAGGCGGGTCTCGAACCTGGGGGCTCAGGCAATCCACACACCTCAGCCTCCCAAAGCGCTGGGATTACAGGCTGTGCCACTGAGCCCAGCTCATCCTTCAAATTTCTTTTCTCCCCCTTCCTACTCCCATCCTTCAATATTAACAGTTCCTGGCCCATGATGAAGAAACCTTACACTTTCTTTCTTTCTATAGGATTCAACAGTGATCCAGCATGCAAAGGTATTCAACTGGGAAATAATTTTTAAAGGACTTTTTAAAGAAAAAAATCTTTATTCCTACATGTGATTTTGTTCTTTCTCTTGCCAGTAAAGTGGCTTCTCCACAATACTGGTATATGAAATTCACTCAACCAAAATACAATATTTTTTTGTAAAGTATTTTTTGTTATAGCACAAAATACAATTTTAAGTGGGCATTAGTGATTCATTATTGCTTCAGGTTACATGGAACTTGCTCTACCCTCAGAGCTGCCCCTTTTGTATACCTCATGGTATTTTAGTTTTGTAAAATGTCACCTTATAACACAAACAAATAAGTGGCCTCTCACCAGGATATAATTCTGTTAATAAATTACTGAGTTCTTTACATAAGAGGCAGTAAACACTACAAAGTATATTTGTATTTGAAATGCCAGACTTGAAAGTTGACAAATGGTTGCTAATCTGGGTGTGGGGAGTGCTAGATCACATTCCCCAGACTTGGATAGCTTTGGTCAAGAAATATGACTGGGACTGGGTACAGTGGCTCACATCTGTAAGCCCAGTTCTTTCTGAGGCCAAGGCAGGAAGATTGCTTGAAGCCAGGAGTTCAATACCAGTCTGGGCAACAAACAAAGTGAGACCTCATCTCTATGAAAATTTTTAAAAATTAAAAAAAAAAAAAAGCCAGGCATGGTAGCAAATTCCTATAGTCCCAGTCACTCAGGAGGTTGAGGCAGGAGGATTACCTGAGCCCAGGAAATTGTGGTTACAGTGAGCTATGATCATACCACTGCACTCTAGCCTGGGTGACAGAGTGAGACCCTGTCTCTAAAAATTAAAAAAAAAAAAAAAAAAAAAAGAATTATGACTGGTAGTCATAGACTGAGATTAGGGAAAACAAAAAGAAGAAACTAAAATATTTACATAATTGCAGAACAATCCTAAATCATCAGTCCATGTAAGAAAAATAAGCATCAGGACTCGCCTGGGCAACTTGGTGAGACCTCATCTCTTCAATAAATCAAAAAATTAGCCAGGTGTGGTAGTGCGCACCTGTAGTTCCAGCTACTTGGAAGGCTGAGGCAGAAGGATCGCCAGAGCACAGCAGGTCGAGGCTGCGGTGGCTGGGAGCGGCCACTGCACTCCAGTTTGGGCAACAGAGTAAGACTCCAACTCAAAAAAAAAAAGAAAAGAAAAATAAGCAACACCAGTGGGAACCACTGAAGCCCAGTTTAGAACACCTGGGACTCAATCAAGGCTAGAAACCTTACAGGCAAAACAAAGGAGAGGTCAGAAGATCCCACCTACCTCTTGGCTGAGGCTGGAGACTTGGCTACAATGACTGCATTCCTGTAATCTGGGATCTGTGACAGACAAGAGGTTGGGAATTACTGCATGTCTCTAAGTGGCTATTCCAACAATCAACAAAAAGGAACATTCACTAAAAACGTATCAGGTCATTTGAAAGTTTTCCAAAAAAAGAAAAAGTTCAGAGTAAAATTCTCCTTTGGAAAATGTAGAAACACCTACCTAGGGAAAAAAATAACTAAGGTATAAGCCACACAGATTCCTTTTAAGAAAAAAGTAGGGATAATTAATGATTAGTTCATATCTTTATGCTAGCAATATAGATAATACAGTGCAAAGATAGTTTTATAAAGTCAGTAGGAAGTCCTCTTATGAATCCTACTTACATATAATTTCACAGTACAAGGATGATACCCATCCAATTTAAATCCAAGTAAGTTGTGAAATTCCAAATTCCTGCAGTCCATACAGATGACTTTTTAACATATTGCAGTTATGACGTGCTGAAGAAACCAATTTGTTAATGGACAATCAGCCCAGAGCTATTTATTTTTTATTTTTTGAGTTGTGGTGTCACTCTGAAGGGAGTATAGTAGCACAATCATGTGTCACTGCAGCCTCAAACCCCTGGGCTTAAGCGATTCACCAGATTCAGCCTCCCAAGTAGCTGGAACTACAGACCCATAGCACTATCACAATGCATAGAGAAGAGGTCTCATTATGTTGCCTAGGCTGGTCTTTTTTTTTTTTTTTTAGAAAGCAGGCTTTATTGAGAGGAGAGAAAAGCTCTCACAGTGGGAGGAGACCCGAAGGGGTTGCCCCTAGGCTAGTCTTAAATGCCTAGACTCAAGCAATCCTCCCATCTCCGTCTCCCAAAGTGCTGGGATTATAGGCATGAGCCATCATGCCTGGCCCAAAACTTTGTTTTGTGTGTGTGTGTGTGTGAGTTAGAGTCTCACTATGTCGCCCAGACTGGAGTGCAGTGGCTGCTCCTGGCCACCGCAGCCTCGACCTGCTGG